ATTAGTTTCCAACCATTACTTCTTGTCCTGCCTTCAGGTGCTTTGGATAATAGTTTGACTCCCTCTTCTTTGGGGCAGCCCCTGAGATATTGGAACACTGTTATCATGTCTCCCCTAGTTCTTCTTTCCATTAAACTAGACATATCCAGTTCCTGCAACCGTTCTTCATATGTTTTAGTCTCCAGTCCCCTAATCCTCTTTGTTGTTCTTCTCTGCACTCTTTCTAGAGTCTCCACAGCCATTATATCTGGCTTTTGGATATATGCTTATATATTTAATATTTCCTTTCCCTGTATTATATCTTGCAAGCTTTATGAGCCTAACAAAGTAGGGAAGAGAAGGAAGGAACGAGTTAACATTTAGCTGGCAAAGAACCAAGAACAGAGAGATGAAAAAAAAAATTGAAACTAAGTGTGCTCAAAGGGATACAGAGGCATAATACTTAACGCTAAAATAGCTGTTTTGAGAGTGCTTTGCATGAAATTATCTTGGAGGAATTTTTACAAGGCAGCATAAAAGGCTGGGCAACCTTTCGATGGCCTGGGGGATATTTAGCTTTCTGAAGGGAAGTAAAGGACTGTCTCTACCCGTCCCTCCCACCCAACCCTCCAAATTATGAGGAAAGAGGCACCAGATTGATTTTTCTCCTTTTTTTTCTTCAAAGTTGCGCGAAGCCCATTTCAAACTCAAAGCCACAGTTTTCGTGTTTCTCGCACGGAGACACTTATTGGTAATGGATGGGGCCCACTGATCATTTATCACACTTATTGGCAACTTATCCTGTTTGAATGGTAAATGGGGTTTCCAGCTATTTTGACGGTACAGCAATGGAGTTTGGTAAGCGATTCAGAAGAGCTCTGTAGGAGACGAGCGGGCGGAGTTAAATGTGCCATCAATCTGGAATCCTAGCATGGCCACAGGAGACCCAAGACCAGCCTCCTGTAATTCCCTTGGCCCTTATCTACGGTAGCAATAATTTAGGGTTCATGTCAGGTGAAAAGAACCAGGAGCAATAGCAATAGCAGTTAGACTTATATACCGCTTCATATATACAGCCCTCTCTAAGCGGTTTACAGAGTCAGCATATATCGCCCCCACAGTCTGGGTCCTCATTTCATCTACCTCGGAAGGATGGAAGGCTGAGTCAACCTTGAGCCGGTGAGATTAGAACCGCTGAACTNCCCACCCCTCCCCTCCCTGGAGTTCCCACATGGCCCATTTTGTATGCAGGGAAGTGCAGGTCGCGCGCGGAGGCTCAGGGAAGGCGAAAAACGGGCCCACCGGAAACTCGGGAAGAGGGAGCCTGGGGAGGCTGTTTTCACACTCTGAGGCTCGAGGAAAGCTTCCGGAGCCCAGGGAGAGCAAACCACCACCACCACCACCCTGGCTATGGTGCAGGAGGCTGACTAGGCCATGCCCACGCCCACCCAGAAACCGGGCAGAGAACTCCTTGTTAAAATTTTTGAAGTCCACCCCTGTATGTAGTCCTTGACCTACCACCTTAATTGAGCCAGGGATTATGGTCATAAATTAAGACCGTGACCAATTTTACAAACTTTTTTTTCCCCGCAGCCAGTCAATAAATGCCCCAAATGCAACCACAGATTTAATTTTCGTCCCATTCTTTCTTCCCTAGATCTCTTTGTGGTCTCTCCTGGTGACGCTGGTGGTACTTTTCATTCTCACTGGTACCATGCTGGGTCCTGAACTTCTGGCTACTATCCCTGCCGCCGTATACGTGGTAGCTCTGCTGATGCCCTTGGCAGGTTACGGCTGTGGCTACGGGATAGCCGCCTTATTCCGCTTGCCCCCGCACAGCAAGCGGACGGTGTCCTTGGAAACTGGCTGCCAGAACGTCCAGCTCTGTACCGCTATCCTCAAGCTGAGCTTCCCCCCACAGTTCATCGGGAGCATGTATATGTTCCCTTTACTCTACGCCCTCTTTCAATCGGCTGAAGCCGGGCTGTTCGTACTGGCTTACAAGATATACGGAAAGGATCTGTACAAGCAAGAGGCTCTCGGAGGAGACAACGAGGAAGAGACAGATGTTTCTTACAGGAAACTGAAGGAGGAAGTAGTCCCAGAAATTTCTTACGGCACCGTAATTGCTGGGGATCGTAGCGCAGGGGTTATGGAGCCGACACAGACAGTCCTCTAGAGCAGTGTTTCTCAACCTTGACAACTTGAAGATGTCTGGACTTCAACTCCCAGAATTCCCCAGCCAGCGAATGCTGGCTGGGGAATTCTGGGAGTTGAAGTCCAGACATCTTCAAGTTGCCAAGGTTGAGAAACACTGCTCTAGAGCAAGAGAAGATCTTCAAAAAAAAGAAAAGAACATCCCGTGTTGAAATAAAGTGGTCAGCCAAGAAGGAGAAACAACAGGGATCCTGAACATTTGTTGTTATTTTGGTTTTCTCACTGTGCTAGAAAGTGTTTTCACAAACTGCACAACTGTATAAATCTCTTCAACCTGTTGTCAGAATATGATGCACACAAGGGAAGGGAAGGAGAGAGAGAAGAGAGGGAGGGAGGGGGAGAGAGAGAGAGACAACATATTGATGAATGTATTGATAACTGTAAATCTTTGGCATCAACTGCATTTGCTGTGTAAAAAACCAACTTGTGTACCTTGTATATTATTCAGCTTCTGCATTGGAAAGATTGAAGTAAAGTTGCGTGTACTTATGACTGATTAAATTACTTGCAAATACGACAAGCCATTAAGAAATTTATCTGAGACTGTCCGCCTCACCTGCAGTACAGAACTACTTCTTCCGTAGAAAGTAGAATAATCTAGAGAATAAAAATTGTATGTTTTCTTACTGGGATTAATTCTTTTATGACAGATATTCAGGAGAGGAAAACTGATTCAAGGCAATCTTGTTTAAAGGAAAAACACTGGTTTTTACTTTAACTGCAACCCCCATCCAAGACCTCAATCTGAGTTTTCCTACTGGGGATATATTTTTGAATCCCTTGGCTTGCTTCTACTCCGCAAAGCCAGAGCTGCAAAAGCTGTAACAGTGGTGCCCACACATCTCTGCCCGACATGTGGCAGAACATTTTGTGCCCATATAGGCCTTACCAGCCGTCTGCGGAGACACAGCAGACAGCCCCACAACCTGTTAGATGTCAAGGTCCTCTTCAAACACGATGGACGAACTCCACCATCATATTTTGAATGCATTCTAGCAATAGCAATAGCAGTTAGTCTTATATACCGCTTCATAGGGCTTTCAGCCCTCTCTAAGCGGTTTACAGAGTCAGCCTCTTTCCCCCCAACAATCTGGGTCCACTTTTTACCCACCTCGGAAGGATGGAAGGCTGAGTCAACCTTGAGCCGGTGAGATTTGAACCCGCCGAACTGCAGATAGCAGTCAGCTGAAGTAGCCTGCAGTGCTGCACTCTAACCACTGCGCCACCTCGGCTCATTCTAGAGGAAACAGGAAACTCAAGGGGATTGTTTTTAAATGACAAATATGCCTGCCAGTTCAGGAATAAATTCCGTTGTTTCAAATCACTACAATTTAAAAGGATTTAGGGTACAACCAAATGGCCACTTAATATCTCTAAAACCTTCCTATTACTGTTATTTACAATTTGAATCAGAAGCAAAATGACAATAAAATGTAAGGGATCTCTGCAAAAAAATCAATACTACAGCCCCCCCCCCCCAAATCATTGATTGAACGAATCCTAAGTAACACCTAAGGGTGTGATGGCAAACCCTGTGGGCATCTGCGCCATCGTCCCAGTGCGCCGGTCAGCTGATTGTCCAGTTTCCAAGGCGCACATACATGCCAGCCAGCTGGTCATCGGGGTTCTGGTGTGCCCGTACACTCTTTCCGGTTTGGGTACTCTGCCTAAAAGGTTCGCCATCACTCACCTAAGATAAAGGTTCCCCTTGCACATGTGTGCTAGTCGTTCCCGACTCTAGGGGGCGGTGCTCATCTCCCTTTCAAAGCCCAAAGACCCAGTGCTGCCAAAAGACACCTCCATGGTCATGTGGCCGGCATGACTAAATGCTGAAGGCGCATGGGGCATTGTTACCTTCCCACCAAAGGTGGTTCCTATTTTTCCACTTGCATTTTTTATATTCCTTTGAACTGCTAGGTTGGCAGAAGCTGGGACAAGCAAGAGGAGCTCACTCCCTTACACAGCGCTGGGGATTCGAACCACTGACCTTCTGATCTACAATCTCAGCGTCTTAGCCACTGAGCCACCACGTCCCTGATACTAGGATACTTAATATTCTTGCAAATAGTTAGTCTATCTAGTTGTCATTGATTCAGTTTCCATTTGTAGCCACACCTGATCAATACGGACTTGAAACTCGGTGCAATTCCTTTCTTCTGCATAAACGCATCGGGACATTGTACCGTTTCCCCTTTTTCATCCATGCTTGCCTAAAGGGAATGCAAGATAATTGAGATTCATAATTAACCACCTTTTCTATTAATTAACGGTATCCAAAAATAGATTTTGGTAACTGGATCCTGGGCGTGTTTGCCCAAAAGCAACATTTCACTTGTGTTTCCCAAAGCAAGAATGCCCAGCAACACAGCAATGTCAGCAGGAAACCCTATTTAAACTAGGTTAAAGGTAAAGGTTACCCTCGCGCATATGTGCTAGTTGTTCCCGACTCTAGGGGGCGGTGCTCATCTCCGTTTCAAAGCCGAAGAGCCAGCACTGTCCGAAGACGTCTCCGTGGTCATGTGGCCGGCATGACTAAATGCCAAAGACACATAAAATGTTGTTACCTTCCCACCAAAAGTGGTTCTTATTTTTTCTACTTGCATTTTTACAGGCTTTTGAACTGCTAGGTTGGCAGAAGCTGGGACACGTAATGGGAGCTCACTCTGTTACACGGCACTAGGGATTCGTACTACCAACCTTTCTGATCGACAAGCTCAGCGTCTTAGCCACCGAGCCACCGCCCTTTATTAAACTAGGTTAGGTTTGGTTTTTTTTGAAATGCAGCACAATGGGATGGGCCCAAGCCTCTCTTTAAGGACTAAATTAAACCAGGATATTGTGGCTTTCCTAGCGTAGGGTTTCCTGCCTCAGCAGAGGGTTGGACTAGAAGACCTTCAAGGTCCCTTCCAACTCTGTTATTCTATTCTATTCTATTATTCTGTTCTATTCCTATTCTTTTCTATTCTTATTCTATTCTATTCCTATTCTATTCCTATTCTATTCCTATTCTATTCCTATTCTA